GTGTGTGTGTGTGTGTGTGTGTGTGTGTGTGTGTGTGTGTGTGTGTGTGTAAAAGAGAGAGTGTGTGTGTACAGGTCAGTAATTGGAGTCATGCCATATAGGTCTGTGTGAGCGAGGATGAATAATTTATACATGCAGCGCACTTTCTCTCTTTTCTCCTCTCTTTTTCTCTTGCTCTCACACACTCTTTCATCCTCTGTCTGTTCCCATAATAATGAGGGGAAATCCCTACAGTATGGAGGAACGTGCCACTGAGTGACCTATAGCCAACACAGGGCAAAAGTTTAGTATAGCTACACACATCTTTGTTCACAAACACAGCTGACTGCTATTTCCGACACTGTCTTGCACAAAAATATGCTTTAGGTCATTATTGCCTGCAGTGCAGCTGTTTTGATTAATATAGAGTCCTATTTTTTTGTCAAGCATAAGTAAGAGGGATGATGTGAGCATTCACATTCAGACATTTACCTCGTCGTCCCATCATGAGCAGTGAGTGCTACATTTCTGCGTGCTGTCGTTAAACCGATTCATCTGCCTTTCAATTCCAGGAAACTCGGAGTAAGAACTGCCTTCCTTGTTTCCTCATGACATCACTGCATAATCGCTATGGGAAACAGGACAGGAAGTGGTAAAGGAGGTTCAGGAGGGCAAGATGTGTGTACTAGAATAGAGGGTGGATCCCTTTCTGAGATACAACCTCTGCTTTCATGCATGAGGGCAGCAGAGATTTCGTTTTGCAGGGGAGACATCCACATTGTGATAAACTCGCAGGCGCTACAAATTTGACATTTCGTCTGTTTCCACTTTGGATTCACACCTGCGGGATTTTTCCGAGGGATCTGGGCCTTTGACCTTTTTAACTTTCAAAAGACAGAGGAGCTGTCGCATATGGCGTTATAGCTTCATTTTGCCATCAATCCCTTCTCTGTGGCGATAACACCTTTGTGTCAGGGGAAACGGAAAAAGTTGAGTATTCCTGCAGAAGACGATCACACTGATGTGGTGTAGTGTTGCGTCGAGCAGAATTTCCTGGCAGTGTCGGCTGTTGTCCAGATAATTTGTCTTCATTACGGCTGGGACTTCTATTCAGTCCAGGGTTTCATCTGTGTTGTCAGGAAGCCAGCTAGGCCAGAAGGATGCAACGTGTTCAGCATGTGTGTGTGTGTGTGTGTGTGTGGCTGCGAGTGTGAAACACGTGTCTTTGTGTATGTTGAAGTCCTTAGTATCCTCGATGGGCTCTATTGCTTCCAGCAACATGCACAGATTAGTATGTTTAATGTTCCAGAAAGACCTTCAGGATCATGATGTCCTGTTAAGCTATATAGCAGAAACTTCATCAAAGTAAAACTAGTTACAGCGTTTCCCTTATATATATGTTGTGTTTTTGGCTTTATTAGCGGGGTGTGTGTGTGTGTGTGTATATAAGTCTTCCCAGCTGCACCTAATAGTCCTTGCTGAGGTAGGCATAGCAGTAGCAGTTCATTACCTCCCGTTGGTTCTGGTTGGAGTGGCCCTCCAGCTTGCTGCTCATCTCAAGTGCAGAATGAGTCAACTGGACTGCAGGACGTGAGTCTCAAGTAGCTGAATGATGATGAACATAGTAATAGCATCCCTACCTATTGACCTGATCTATTTTTGTAGCTTATTTTTGCTAATTATTCTGATTGTATGGAAACAATTGACTGAAGCAGAAATACAGTGGACAAATTCACTGCGCGCTATTTGGTAGAGTCCGACCAACGTAGGACCTTTTTAGGACAATTTATAGATCTGACTTTTTAGTCATAGTCCTTTGACTAAAAAGTTATTTCGTTTTAGTTAGAATTTAGACTAAATATTATAAGATTATAGTAGAATAAAGTGTAAAAGGTTGTTGTTTTATTACCCTTGAGAGTTGCTCAACGTGGTTTACAAAGCATCCTGTTTTCCTTGGTATCAAATGTAAAACTTGTCCACATATAGCCACGCTTCGCTTCCTCCCAAGCACTGACAATTTGTCGCTTTTTCATGAGAAGCATGGAGGATGGAGCTAGTTGTACTGTACGTGTGTTTGCAACAGCAGAGTGCCTTAATAAATGCCATTACTGATATATTAACAAGTACCAAGTATTGGCCAATAATATCGGCCCAATACTGGCCCTCCAATAAATTTTAACTTTAGGTTATTTAAAATAGATTTGACTTTAGTTAAATAAAAAAATCTGTTGGGTTTTGTCAGGAAGGGAATCTGTTATAAAAAGACCCTGTGTGGATGTACTCTAGTGTCTGGCATGTTGATAGTGAATATTGGGTCTTGTTGGCTGTGGGGTGGAGCATTAGTGGAGGAGGCTTTAAGTGCTCGATGGAACTGTTTGGAGGCTGTTTGTTCTTAAGCTGCTTACTCTGCCCGCTGGTATGGAAAACATTTCGATGTGTGTGTTTCCACATCCTAGGATATCAGTCATTAGCATCAGCAAAGGATGCTGTAACATAAAAATTCTACACCTTTAAGTCTAGCTATTTTGGTGCTGTTCACCCTCAGGCTGTGTGATTAAACAGCTGTTCTTTATGTTGTTGGACTTTTTAAATGTATCCTTGTCAGAATAATCGTCTCTCTCATCACTGCTGATACGGGATGAGACACTTACTGGCACCATCCCCGTGCTGGTTTCAGTGTGTTGCATCATATCTGTAATATCTCTATTAGTTGGACTGGAGGCTGATACGGGCCAGCGTAGGGTGAGGTGAAAGTGGGACGTTTCCACACAGGCGCCTGCTGCTTGTGTAATGGTTTGAAATCGCACTGTTTGGAGGCGAGGGAATGTAACTTGTTTTAATCTCTCTGAATCTCTTTCATTTAACTGCCAGCGAGGGGGGAAAAAAAAGATTGTATCAAATCAAAATATTGCCTTTTTGCTCCCTTTTAATCCCAGTTCCCTTTTCTTTCTTTTTTTTAACGCCTCTTGTGCTTTCTGGTTTTGATGTCTATTTTTGTCTCCACTTTGAATTGTTAAAGTGACTTAATATTAATACACAAATGCTATCTCTGTCTCTTGTAGACCGAGAATGGCAGTGCCCTCCATGAGGCAGCTCTCTTTGGGAAGATGGATGTTGTTCGCCTTCTGCTTGACTCAGGTGGGTCTATAAATATACCCCGGCTAAACAAAAACTGTGCGTGTTTCCTTATATGTGTGTTTCCCTTGTTTCTCCCTCTTTTTTTCTTTTTTCAACCTGTGGCTAGATGTTTGGAATTTTGTTTTGTTGTGTTTTCCCTCTCCTTCCCTAAATTGTGAGTCAGTTTGCCCCCAGGTGAACTCCAAACATCTGTTTGCTAAATTCTTCCTCACTTCAAGCTTTGTTATTGTTTTGGCCAGTTTCTCTGCAACTGCATAATTAGGATGTGTTGTCTTATGTCATCTTATGCAATGACTGAAAAAGATTCCCGAAGGTAGAACAGCTCCTGTCTTAACTAGTAGCTCGAAGTCATGTGGGTATAGTTGGTACTTTTACTAAAACAGCCTGGACACTGTTGTCCTTTTGACATCATTGCCATCCTCCACCTACTTTCCTTCAGCACTTCCTGTTTCCTACAGGATTTCCTCTGGGTGGCCATGTTCCTTTTGCCTTGATTTTATTAACATCCTGGATCAAAGCAGGGCTGTACTTGTCAGAGTCACTGAGCTCTAACCCGATATAGCTAAAAATATTGCCTGTCGGTAGGTGGGTTTACTGTAGAGGTGTAGGATGGGCCTCAATGCCTACGCGTAGAGAATGGCTTGTTGGTGTAACTGCTTTATCAAGTAAGCATCAGTCATTTTTTGACCAAAGAAATAACCTTTAGTATCATAGAAAAGGATCATGTGACATTCAAGTTGAGTAGGTAAATGTGGTTATTTCTGTACTTTCTCTGAGCATTGCAATGTCTGAGCTTGGCGGGGCCTCCAGTCATTAGAGTGTCTGCTACTTTCTGGTCTGCTATTTACTGACCGCTCAAATAAAGGCTAAAAAGGCTAAAAAGAGAAAGTTAAGAACAACTAAATAAAAACTGAATGCTATTAAACGGTAAGCTAAGTTTAGCACAACTCTGGGACATGAAGAGCATTAAACAACAAGCCGTTATTATTATAATACATTTTTCTTTTAAACACATTTGTTATTTTTGATAAATAAAAAAGCCAGGGAAGCTGTTTTTTTTTTTTACATCTACAGTTCCTTGAAGCACTAATCACATTACAGACTTCATTCATAAATGTACAAACCACATGAGAAATAAGGAGGAAAAAGGAGGGAAAATAAAAACCTGAAATGCCAACTTAGGTGTAAATGTCTTTTTATTACAGTTTGATACATTTCTGATGGTACCCAGCAGAACGATTGGAATGACATTTATTTTCACATATGGCCTATTTGATATTGTGCATCAGTCTTTGAATGCAGTCTTTTTATGTGTCATTGTCTGAGATTGTGACTTAGCATTGCAAGAATGTGTATGTGTGAGACTAATTTGCATTCATCAACAAAACATTTGGGTTATAATCTTGGAAAAAATGCTCCCTGGTGTTTCTGACCGAGTGGTGTGTTTACAGATCTGACTTCATATTTATTTTTGTATACTGCGCTTGAATGTGTTTAGTTCTGTGTATCTGCGGTGAAGGTGAATTATCATGAGCAAGCCTGAGTAGGTCCTGTATTGTTAGACTAAGTAATGGGTGTTGACTTTCCCCCCTCTTTTTCTTGTATTTTATGCACGTTTTCTTGGGTGTGTTTGTGTGTCAGGGATCGACACCAATCTAAGAGACAGCCAAGGAAGAACGGCTCTGGAGATTCTGAGGGATCATCCCGCACCAAAATCCCAGCAGATCACTGCTCTCATCCAAGGTAAAGACGCACACACTTTTGATTTAGATGAATTGAGAAAGTGGGGCATTTCAGGTGTAAGAATCTTAAATAAGTTCACTAAATATATAACAACAAAAAGAAAGATTTAACAGTTCACCAGCGACAATGGAAGCTCCTGTATGTGTTTAGTTTGTACAATGGGTGAATGCACTGTTACTGTTAGCCTTGACTTATTTTCTTTGTCTCACTGGTTTAGCTGGATTTTAAATAAGATTGTTATCAATAAGATTCTGGAAGTTTCAGTGGATAAATAGCACTATGGTATTTCTGATGACTACTGTGCAATAAAGTCCATGTCTAAACCACTTAAGAACCCTTATAATAGATGTTCTCCAGCAGTGTATAAACGAATACTAATATCGACACACATTGTGAAGGAGCAGCAAGACCTTGGCATGCCATAAAAGGTCAGACTTACATCTTCATATTGGATTTTGTTGCTTTGCTATTTAATAGTAGTTTCAAACATCCCAACTTGTCAAAGCAGGAAAATCCCTTGTTAAAATCCTTAATGATGGTTGAATTTGGAAAAGGCTCAGCTAACTGGAATGCAACAATCATCCCAGGCATCAGTTTCATTTTTGCTTTTCTTGCTTTGATGAGTTAAAAAATTATCTGCTCTGACAAGAGTTTCTACTCTTGTGAAGTTTAGAACCACGAGCTATGATGAGTGAAGTAAATGATGCCTTTCTTTGTGGACTTTTTGCCCTTGTGCTGTAGTTTCCGTCCTAAGAAATACAAGAAATGCATATTTATGGTGGCTGATGTGGTCGATGATCTGTCCTTGGTGTACTCTGCCTTTGATAGTTTCAAAATAAAAGTGGGAGTGCTAGGAAAAAGCATCTGCTCCCTATCAGATTTATACTATTTTTCATACTTTCATACTTTTTTTCACGTTTCAGATCATCAGACAAATTTTAATATTGAACAAAGATAACCGAAGTAACCCTTGTTAAATCATTAAATAAGTGGCCCAATTACTGCCAGACAGTGGACCAATGAGACAAAAGTTGAACATTTAGGAAGGTTTGGGTCCCGTTACATTTGGCATAAAGCTGACGCAACATTTCATATAAAGAACATCACACCAATAGTCAAACACGGTGGCAGTAGTGTGATGATTCAGGGCTGCTTCAGGGCGACTTGCTATAATCGATGGAACCATGAATTATACTCATGAAGGAGAAAATCCAGCCACCAGTTCATGTCCTGAAGACGGTTTTGGAATTGCCTTTGCAAAGTCCGAACTGATCCCAATAAGATGATTTGACATGCTGTCCATGCTGGACAAAGATAACGAATTTACTCAGGTTATCTTTGTCTAATACAAAAATGTCTTTGATCTGAAACATGTAACTGAAGGTTCTCAGTCATCCACGTCATAGTAGTCTAAGGAGCTTGGAAAGAAAAACGTCTGGACTTCTTTAAGTTTCGTGAAAACCTTTCACCCCTCATCTGAGAAGCTTCTTCAGTTCTAAGTGCAAATGGTGGAGAGTGATGAATATGCAATACACCTATACACTTCTCTAAATATGGCAACTGCTTCTGTGATAACACTAAACTCAGGACTTGCAAATGGGTGAAGTCAAGGTAATATTAATGTTTTTAATACGCAGTTTATAGTCTATGTTTAGGAGTTTTCAAAATTATTGTGGCTGGAGGAGTAATGCAGTTATATCCAGCTATACTGTAATTTATGGCCCAGAAAGAAAAAAGCATATTGTCATTTTCAGTGTCTTCACTTTATTCCACCTGCCATTAAGAACCCTGTTTTGGCTCTTGTCCTGCTGCAGTGGGTTTTTGTGTGCAACCAATGCTTGTTTGTGTGAGTTTGCGCCGCAGTCCCCGCGGACCCAAAGATTCTCCATATTGCACCTTCTAAAGACAGTTTTATCCTGAAGTGATTATGAGGTTCAGTTTGAACGCTCTAATCTGTGGCTTGGAGGCCTTCGCTATCTGTCATTGTGTAGTCTGTGGGTGTACGTTAGGCGTGTTGTTGCGCATGATTTAAAGAGAGTGAGATAAAGACGGACAGGATTGGAGGGATAGGCGAACGAGGAGAGCCTAAATTAACCGCTAAACAGTCTTAACTAGGAGACAAAGATAGAAAGGGGAGCAGAGACTGAGCCCCAGGAATGTAACAAATCGTCCACGGTTAGAAAATAACAGACAGAAAGCTGACATTAAACCAGGGAACGCACAGCGATGCAAAGGGCAGAACAATTTAGATGTAATTAGTGATTCAAGTTTCCTATTTCACGTTTAGCACGACAACAATTTGAGGCGTAAACAAATAACAAAATCGGGGAAAATTGTCTATATTTGTCTTGTGTTTTAAACCTTAACATGTAGTTGTTGCTTTATTATCCTTCTACTTGCTTCAGAGTTACATATGTGAAGTGGAAGTGGTTTGTTGTTGCGAAGAACCTACCCACACATCTTGAAAAATGATTTCACATAGCTAGTTGCTCCCCGAAATGCTTTTTAGTTTTAGTTCTCTTTTGTGATTCTCATCAGTCAGGCAGAGTTAAACAGCACATGCTTACCTCTGGAGGCTTAACCAGCTAAAGGTATAGTGAACAATGGGCTAAAATTCTCTTCTTCAGTTCATAAAGCGGCCCCCAAACCCAGCATCTAAAACTTCTGAGTAATTTGTTTTTTGCTAATGAAGAGCAGTGAGCTTTAGAGATGGTCTGCGTCTCCGCTACATAACAGAATTGGACTCTGTTCAAGCCCTTTATTGAAACTACACGATGTACACTCAGCACTTTATTAGGTACACCTCAGCAGTAGTGGGTTACACCTGCTTTTTGCCTTCAGCACTTACTGAATTTTTCGAGGCATAGATTCAATATTGCTCTGTTCCACTACATCCCAAAGGTTCTCTATTGGATTGCGATCTGGTGACGGCGGAGGCCCTTTGAGTACGGTGAACATTTGAGTGCATGTTCCAGAAACCAGTTTGATATGATTTGAGTTTGTGAAATGATGAGTTACCCTGTTAGAAACGGCCATTAAAAGATTGGTACACTGTGTCCTAAAGGAATGGACATGGTCAGCAACAGTACTCAAGGCTGTGGTGTTTAAACATGATTTTGTGGATTGGTGTGATGACTCCTTCCTTTCACTAAATGTGTCAAAAACTAAAGACATGATTATTGATTTTAGGAAGTCCTCTTAGTCTTATAGCTCATCACCCACTATCGTTAAAACTGCTGATATTGGGATTGTTGAGAGTTTCAAATATCTAGGTGTGGTACTTGACCATAAATTGTGTTTTGGATCTCATGCTGATGCCATTACTAAAAAAGTTCAATAAAGACTGTTGTTTTTAAGGAAAATTAGATCTTTTAATGTCTCATCTGAGATGTTGTCTTTGTTTTATAGAAGTTTTATCAAATCTGTGATGTCTTTTTGTATTGCTGCCTGGTTTGGTAACCTGACGGTGAAGAATAAGAAGAGGTTTGGTCTTTTGGTAAAAACTGCTAGCAAAATTTCAGGGCGCTGGTAAGATGGACTTTTGGCCATTTACAATAAAAATGTGCTTAGAAAGGCTCATTCTATTGTTAATTGTTCAAACCATCCACTTCACAGTGAGTTTGAGTTGTTGCCTTCCGGCCGCTGTTTTAGGGTACCTCTGAGGAAGACCAAAAGACTCCAGACTTCTTTTATCCCTACTGCATCCTGTCTCCTAAATGCCATATAACTGTTCTGGGATTTTCTACTACTATTATTGTCATTTTATATTATTTTTTGTTTACTTTTATCCTGTTGCTAAGCTAATTTCCCTTTTTGGACAATAAAGAATTTGAATTGAATTGAATTGAATTGAAACAATGCCCAGTTGGACCCCCCATCATAACACCAGCACCAGCTTGAATTTTTGATCCAAGACAGGATGTTCATGTTATTGACTTCAGATTCAAGACAGTCGAACACCAGGCCTGGTGGCCAGAATCCTTTAGAAAATGTGAAGGGCATACATTTTGGACTTTCAAACGTTTTTCAGCTTTTCCCTCTGATACAGACCTCCTACATTGACATTCATTTTAAACCAACATCACTGAACAGTTAAATGACAGAAAAGTGATACTGTATATGTAACTCACCAGTCAGTGTATGCTAACCAAATGCCGTATAGCCTCTGTCGCAGCACCACCTACTAGATTCTTGCTCCTTGTTTTGTACACCTACTCCTAACATTTAGCTTTATTTGGTATATTTGGGATTTCCTCTACAGTTTAAAATAACTTCTGCGACCCTAATTTGGAAAAGCAGAAGAGAATGGATAGAGTTTACAATACAGTTCTGTGGATTTGCTTGTTTACACACTTGTATTTACAAGAATGAAGAGTGATTATGTGGATAACTGGGGTTGAAGATGTCAATACAGTGCAGCTGTCTGGACTTAATTCGGCATCCTTAGCTGTTCACATCCCGAGCTGTGCATATAGAATCACAGTTTGGGGGAATATTTGTTAATATGCACACAAGTGAGGCTAGAAAATATGTTTATGAAATGAACGTAGCTTTTTAAAAGTCAAAAATTCATGTCATTGTGCATATTGGTCAGAAATGACAGCCGTGAAAAGCTTGTCTCTCTAAATTAGAAGTGCAAACAGAGATTTGGACTTCAGCATAAATTGGAGAGTGAATGTGTGAGAGAGAGAGGGAAAGGACGCAGCTGTGACTCAGTGAAAAGATCAGCTGCATGCCATTTCCTGTTGGAGAGGAGATGGAAAAGCACACACACACACGCACAGACAGAGACGCAAAGAGCAGCATACTTGTCATTTACTCAATTGTACCAGTCGAGGGGCTTTCTGGTTGCCGTAGGCACCTCGTTATGAATAGAATCTCATTTGTTTCACAGCACACGATTCATCCGACTGTTTGAATTAACAAGTTCATTTTGTACTGCCCATCAGCAACTGCTTGTGTACTACAGTTCAGTGGATTATTTTATTATTTTATAAAGACGCTGCACTTTATGTTCTCTGCTGTTTATGGAACTTAATAAATCTGTCGAAGCATTTCGTCTTTCTTTTTGAGTCGGATACAAATTCCAGTACTAAGTGTAGTTGTATGCAAATGTGGTTGTTCGTCATAACTACTGAGCTGAATGCCACTATTCATAATAATGAAAATATACCCACACGCACAAACACTCCTCCTGACATTAACCGGCTCCCTCATTAGGACTCTGCAGGGAATTTGCCACCTAATTTCTGTCTGCAAGTGTATTCGTGTGCTTTGCCTGAGTTAAGCAAGTGTTGAACTTTGTTTCTGGCCCTTCACCTGAACCCTTTTCTCCCCTCCTCTTCCTCTTTCCTTCCCTAGCCACATAATTAGTTATGTTTTACCTTCATGAACAGCAGATTGCTTTATTAGCAGAAGCTGTGAAGTGAATTTGCGGTGCGGGGAAAAGTGTGAATTGAATGCAGCTCAAGCCGTTTACAATACTGATTGCTGTGCTATTATATTGATCTGGTAAAATGCCTCTGAAATGATTTTTTTCTCTCTCGCTCTCCCTCCTCGATCACTCTCCAAACTTCCTCCACTCTGTGCCCTTTCTGCTCATTATTCCCGTCTTCCTGGCATATTTTCACTTTCCCCTTAATTCACATTGCTTTCATCTTGTCTGCTTCATCGTTCATCTTCTTAATTCCCCGCTGTTTCCACGTGTCTGTAGAATATATGATGGATGAGATGGAGAAGCTGAGCATCCTGGAGGAGCCTGTCCGCACGTGTCCTGTCCCTACACCTCGAACTTCTGTTCCCTCGCCTTCCGCGTCCCCTTCACTGAGACACAAGAGTAAGTATGAAGACAGACTCATGAAGTACTGGACTGTGAGCTCTGAGGTGACTAAATACAGCTTTTTTTTAGTTCTAAAAAGAGGAAGTGGTAGAAATAAAGACAGAAACTGGGTGTAGACAGATGACATAACAACAAATAACAACCTATGTAGCACATTCCTTTATGCATTCTGCACAAAGGCTTACAATATGTTTAGTAATATACCCAAACAACTACAAAGGCATTTATATAAAGCATTTATTTATATATAAGGGAACATTACAGACCAGTCCATCATCCAAATGCATGTGTCCAGTTTACTCTAAGAACAACGCCAGTAAACTTGATTGGAACTATTGTTTACTTTTTGCAATATGGGCTGAATAAAGCCATGGAGAGCAGCTCCTTTAGTGGAGAATAACAGTCACTGCCACTCCACACTTACCTTGTCCAGCACTGCCCCCTGTGTTACAAATATGACATTGCAACCTGCTGAGTGTGTGCTGATCTGCTCTCCTCTCAGTGATTGTCAGCAGATCCCATAATTACCTTGATTACCTAGAGAGTCGTGGAGGGAAGCGGGAGGAAGTGATTAGCACAGTGTGCCTTAATGCGACACAAAAGCAAAGCAGGAAGCAGACGGGGGAGGAGTTTTGTGTCTGCCAAACAGGTTAATCTCACAATAAATCAGACAGGCATATAAAAAATTTTCTTCCACCTTTTTTTCTTTGTTGTTTTGGTGATAAAATATATTTGCTGGCGTACCCGGTATGAGAATAACTGGCTTCACAGATACGGATCACATTTCTTACATCCTCCTCAGATGATGCTGTGACAAGCGAACTGTCCAAACTGCTTCATGAGATCAAAAAGTGCCGGGATAGGGACTACTCATTCGAGGAGCTCTGCCACACCATCTCCTCCCACTCTATGGACAGCTTCGGTAGCGGGCGGCTGTCCGATGAGGAACGCCCAGATCGACCCAACGGCACTCTGACTCGAGCCAGCAAGGTACTCCACTAGGCTATTACAGAGGCGTGGTGCATTTTGGTTGTGGTGTTTGCCTCTCCTTTCTTGGTCTGCTCATGTAAATGCATTTTGTGGGAAGTAATGAGCCAGGCAAAAATGGAAAAAAGGGCACTGAGGTAGTTTGCAATTGAACACCTCGTTGGTAATTAAATATTCTCACACCAGAGTTTAAAGTTGTTCTGAAAAACTCCATGCCAAAAAGAAAAACTACTAATGCATTTCTACTTTTCTGTTAACTGACACTTGACTATGATGATGGTTAACTCAAAAGTAAATGTCCGGGCCTTATTCCAGTTTCTTAAATACAAGAATTTAGTGGTTTTGCAGCACTTCTTTTTCTCCTGCTGTCTTTGGAGTTTGATTTATGCCCCTAAATATCCCTTTAGTTGGCTGCTTTGTGCTGGCCTGCTTTCTGTTTTACTTGTTCTTTTTTTTTCTCCTGTTTTAGTAAACAGATAAAACAAAAGTGCAAATGTCAGTGCAAATCTGCCAAATGAAGAAAAAAAAAAACTAGATAGTTTATGGTTGCAATTTCAGATAAGATTGGTATGAGGTCACTGGCTCAGAAAGTCTTAATTTCAGGAGTGACCCAATTGCAATTAGTCCCTACAATAATGTCTGTGTTGCTCTAGAATAAATTAAGACTTAAAAATCGATAGAAAAATATTTTGGCTCTGAGTAAAATATTTCTGCCACATCTATAAATGTTTGACTGCAGGCAGGCTCTCTGTTTATCTAAAAGAATTTCTCTCTGCAGGCTTATCAGCTCTTATTTAGTCCTTCAAGATGTTTTATCTTACTGCACACAGGGCCCAGCTGTGCTGCAGATCTTCATTTACTGTCAAGGCCACTTCACTGGGTATTGTTCAGCTGCTTGTTAATACAAATATCGAATCGGCCAGTCACATGGCAGCTACTCAGGCATTCAGACACGGTCAAGATGACCCGTTGAAGTTCAAATTGAGCATTAGTATGGGAAAGAAAGGTGATTTGAGTGACTTTGAAAGTGATGTGGTTGTTTGTGCCAGCTAGGCTGGTCTGAGAAAAAGGAGAAAATATCGAGCGAGCGGTAATTCTCTGGGCAAAAATGCTTTGTTGAATGCCAGAGGTCAGAGGAGAAGGGCATGTCTGCTTTGAGATGATAGGAAGGCAGCAGTGACCGAAATAACTACTTGTCAGAACCAGGATGTACAGAAGAGCATCTCAGAGTTCACAGCCTTGAACCAGATGGGCTACGGCAGCAGAAGACCACACCGGGTGCCGCTCCTGTCAGATAAGAGAACGCTAACAGGAAACTGAGGTTACCGTTCACACATGCTTACCCAAAAACAGGAAGAGAAGATTGGAAAAATGGTGCCTGGTTTGATGGGTGTCGATTTCTGCTGCAACATTCTGTTGATGGGATCAGAATTAGCTGTAAACAGCATGAAAGCATGGCTTGCATCCTGGCATATCTCAGTCTGAGACTCGAGATCCGTGTGAATGAGAAGTGTTTCCAGCAGCTCACTGAATCTGCGTCATGAAGCCTTCAGGAAGTTTTAAAGTCAAAGCAGGATCAGCTTTCTATTAACAAGGTGCACCTAATAAAATGGGCACTTTGTGTACTTCTGGCTTACAAAAAAGACTGCACTTTGACTATTTTGACTACAGAGGGCAGTATCAGACTGATGCCGCTGAGTTGGCTCGTCCTGTTGAGTTGTCACTTCTTGTTACAGAAACAAAACAGGTCCAGGGTTTATTTACAATTGTAATTATTCTTTGTGCTCAAAGATCCGTTCACAGCCTGCAGATATTTTTCATGACCTTCTTCTAAATTGGTGCCTATTTATGCTGAAATATTGTTCACGCCTTCCCCGTATCTGTCCACACTCTCCTAACACAACATACATACACACACACACACACTCTTACGCAGAAGAAAACTGATTAGACATTAATGGCTTGAAGTTCAGCTCAGGAGGAAGTGGATGACCTTTATCAGTGTTAGCTGACCAGAGAATCACACCTGCAGTTTATTTCTAACAGCCAGCACAGCGTGACGAAGAGGCTCTGAGGCTCAATTCCATCAGCCAGAAAGACAGAAACACAGGTCATCTATCACACCTGAACCTTTAGACCACACACAGACACACGTGCGTGCACACTCAGGCGTGCACACTCACAGGGTTGTCCAAAGAAATGCGATCGAATGTGCCTGCGCTTCTCACTTATTACTGCTTGTCTGTTTCTATTTTTCTTTCTATTTCTCTCCATCTTGCTCCCCTACAGTAACACATGCACAGACACTCCAGCAAAAAATATTGTGACGCTGATCAATAGTCCAATTTTTTTTTTCATTTCTTTAATAAGTTCACTTTCAGCGTAATTCAAGTAGCTTTTATGGACAGTGCAGCAGGTGCACAGACCTCATGCTGAGGCTCTCTCACACGTGCATGCACATTAAACACGTACACCACGTCTTACTCAGGCTGTAATTACCTGAATCCATCTTGTGCCCCTCTCTATAAGTACCAATTTGTATTCTATTACTGACACTCCTAGCTTGTGTATGTCTGTGTGTGTTTATATGTGCCCGCAGGCTACTGTCTAAACTGAGGCCGGGCCTATTTAGTATGCGATTCAGTGTCTCTATAGTACAGAAATGAACAATGCAAATATGCGCAATAACTCACACATAGATTGCATACACTCACGAAGAATGCTGGCACAGTGTGAATTCAGAAAGTCAGAGTGGAAATGTGTGTGAGTTGTGTTCAAATGAGCACTAGCATGTGCATTCTGTGTGGTTAAACCAGCATGTGTTTGTTATAATCTGATGCCACTGGTTGTATTCTTTGCTTACATTTATTACACAAGAATTTATTATTCAATTATAATTCAAAACTAAATAATTTAGTCCACATGCTTATCTAAGTATTTCAAATCAAAGCTGAGATTGTGTATTTTTTCCAGCCAGAATTCCAGAACTTGTGTATCCCAATAACCGTGATGGAAAAGCACAGACTGTACATAAAAGGTGGATGTCATCGTGGAGCTTTAAGTAGAGTGTTCTGGCCATTTTCATCTTGGTGTTTGGAAACCAGATGTGACAAATGAGGCTTGGATGCTTTGTCGTCTGTTTTACTCTAAATTGGACCAAAATTGACATCATGTTAAGTGAATTAAAGCTAAGGTAGTGACTGAGGCCATAGACCCAACAGAAAAGTGTTTAATGAGGTCATAAGTCAAGTGAGGAAAACTTTCTTGTGGACTTGCACTCTGACTTCTTTCTACAGCTCGCCCCCTGCTGGCCACTTTTCTTTTCCCTACTTTGACTCTTTCTGTGTTTTGCGTGCAGATGATGCATAGAGCAGAGAATCAGATCCTCACATCTAAGAGGCCGGAACCTGTAAATACCCTTTACAAGTACTGTCTGGACTAAAAATCAAATGTGTTCCTTAATTTCTAATATTTGGTGCCAATCTGTAGCCATGCTAACAACCCTGCAGGACTATAATGATATACAGCTTTGCTTTAAGCTATATGTTGAGGGACACTGATTAGCAGGTTATAAAATTTACTGTCTCCCAATACTAACATTCTATCACTAAGCACAGAATCAAGTAAGGATATATTGTAATAAATTATATTATTGGGCATATTGATCAGATTTTTCATACTGGTTTGAAATGTAATTTTTGCCACGATATTGTTCTCTGCACCAAAAATGTCACCTTGCTGTAGATGTCAGTTAGATTTAAGAGTTGATCCTTGTTTATTCATCGCTAACCATGATTGTCTATAATGACCAGTTAATTAAGACTTCTCCATGCTAGTTGGAAATCTGTACAATACTTGCAACCCTGAGTAAAAACTCTGAACATGAGACATAAAATATAAAAAATTCACTCCAGACTTGATTAGTTTGATTGTTTGTTTTTTTTTATTTTGTAAAAAAAGAAACCCATTTTAAATATAATTATAATATGAAAATGTACTCCTTCCTTTTTTGTGGAAATGGCATTTTGTGGCCACACCTGCAGTTCCTGTCTTCCCATCAGGGGACATATCACACTTTTCAGTGTTAGTGGTCCAAACAATTAGGAAAGAAATCTAGTGCAGCGTAACCCATTCAGTCATTGTAGAGATATTTGAGCCTGGATCTGTCGAGCCACTTAAAATCTGTGTAAAAACTGTGTTTTTCATCCATGCAAAGACTCTCTTCAACCGATATTTTTTATGCATGGTTAGTTTTCACTAACCAGTTGGCTGCATTATCAGAGCCATGTGCATGTAGTGCAGGGAAATGTCTAAGGGTTTATTGGGTTTCATATTGATCTGTAAAATTTAAACTCGTGTAACTTAAACTCATTACACTGGAGTCAGTTTAAATCCAAGTATAAATCATTTTGTGTTTCCTCCATCAAATGAACTACACTCATTTGTGTTAAGAAGCTTTCAGACAGACATAAAAGACACATTTTCATGTAGTTAAGCAGGTGATTTTCCCTAAGTCATAATCTATCCCTTTAAAGCTTTCCCATTGACAACTAATGTAATATTGATTAGCTATGCAGCTTTCAGTATGAATAATTAACTGTCCTCTCTATTGAACACTGGCTGGCATCACATTCATACTGTAATGAAAGGTTATGTATTGTTTATGCATACAGTGCAGTATGTATATGTGAATACTGCAGTCCTTTTTAGATCAATCAATATTCAAGTGTTGCAAAGGGCCCTCTGCAATCTGGAGCGATTGGTGACCTTTCGCTTTCTGCCTCATTTTCTGCCTCCGTCTCCATTCTCGCTGCCGTTCTTTGGCTCTTTCCATCTGTCTCTCCTTCCTTCTGTAACTTCATTTGGGTGCACAGTTTTCATTCTTTGCTTCTTTAGCATGCCCTCTGCATTTCCGCCGCTCTTAATCCTTTTCTTTTTTTGTTCTTTTTGCCCTCTCGCTCGTCATCTTTTAGACCTCTGTTCTAAAGATAATCACCGCATGATGAACATGAGACCTCCCTCAGTCTGTGCACCCTCATCACTCCTGGTAAAAGCTATATGCAGTTTTAGAGACGGCCGATATGTGTTTTTGTCTTTGTAATCTGCTGTGGTCTACGCCCTCGGCTGCGTTGTTTGGTTCACAGAGATATCAGGTGGGCTTTATCTGCCCTCTGACGCTTCATACTGCAGAGCCCATCCGCACACCTGTCCCCTGAGAGCCAAAGAGCCCCCAGGAAAGGGCACTGCGTGTGAGCCTCAGATGTTCTGCTATTAATGGGCTTTTCTCACTAACACATACTAGCCCAAAGCAGTGCTGTGCAGGTATTTCAAGTAGTTATATGAGAAGGGTTGCAGGTTTTTGCTGTGATCCCCATGAAGAGCTTCACAAAGAGATACTGAGGTTGATAAAGATGGTGCCTTTGAGGGGAAATAAGCTGGCTTTTACTGTAATTATCAAAATCTCCAGTAATGGAAGAAAGTCAGGGAAAGAAATTCTAGATAAGAATGTATTTGATTGTTTGATTTTATCCCATAAGAGTGTTTTTGGTGAATCTGCTGCACATTTAGCCATAAGCATCATAAGTTAAATAATTTTAGCAAACTGCCACTTACTTGCACCCACAGCTGTCACAGAGCAATGTTAGCATTGTGCTTTGAAGCCAAAAAGATGAATTTAATAAGTCTGTGTGTAGAGCTAAAGAGAATGGCAGAGGTGGGTGACCAGTCTCTGCGGTCCTACTTGCTTCTTTTTTCTTTCCAGAAGGCAAATCAACAGTGAGCTGCTTCTGACCAATAAGTGGCACCTGGAAAGGCTTCATAATAGCCTCCAACTCCCACCCTCTCTCAACCAGCAGAGCCTTCAGGAGCAAAGTCTCCCTCTACCATGTCGTTTGTTCTTTTAATTCAGTCTTAATGTAAAAGCTTGTTTATTCCAATTTGTTTCTGTCTGTGCCAGGGTTACACGAGCCACTGTTACTGTAAATATATTGGTCATAGCAGCTTTGAAAATAACTGCTGTCACCCTCTGTCCTCCTAAATCTATGCTGATGTATACAAATGGCTTTTGTACGGTACCATCAGTCTTTTCTTTGTCCGGTTGACAATTAATCTTCTTGGGAGACATACACCCTCTAATCTTTGAGCTGATTATTATTGGTTACTTGTTATAATGACAATCGTATACTTGTGTTCTGAATTTTGTGCTCACAGCGGCCGACGCCACCTCTCCCTCCGGCCATGGAAGAAGATGAGGCAGAAAAGAGCTGCGGTCCCACTGGCTTCTGGGAAGCACTGACTCCATGCAATGGCTGTCGTAACCTGGGCTTCTCCAGCCTGTCGCAGGTACACACACACACACACACACACACACACACACACACACA